GGAGAGGAAATGGCTTGGGGAGCCGGGCTGCGGGGAGCAGGGGGCTTGCTCGGGGAAGGCTGGGGATGGGGGCCCCGCGCCCAGCCTTCGTTACTCACCTTTAATCACTTTTTTTTGGTCTTCTGGGTGATTTATTTAGTCCCGTGCCCAAGTGCTAATTGTAAACCTGGCACAAACGACCCGTCCCCGTTGAGCGTTTGCTTCCCGCGCTGGTGGGAGGGCGGGGGGTGGGGGGGTGATGGTCCCACAGGGACCCACGCAGGGTCAGCGAAACGGGGGTCTCCGACCCCTCCCTGGTGCCAGACCTCGGCTCTCAGCAACCCTCCCAGCCCCGTTAAAGTCCTCAAGCGATGGAAAATCTCCATCTTTCCAAGTAAGTTGTTCCAATGGTTAATTAACCTGACAATTAACTCATCAGCTAATTACACAATACATTCTCTGGAAAAAATTTGGTGATGTATTTTGATGTGTGTCCAAGTAGGACCATGCTGGGGTGGAGGGAAGGGAAGGGTCCCCCCCCTCCCCTTGGGGGCACGAGGTGTGGGACAGGTCTGGGGGGGTCTGGGACCAGGAGAGCTCTAGAAGGTTCTCATGGTGCCAGGGCTCCAGCACGGGGATTGCCCTGCGTTCCCTGCCCGGCTGTATCTGCAGTTTGCTGTTGTGCTTTGGGGTGAAGCAGACGGGATAAAAATCTGCCCTGGGGGATGACAGGTTGACCATGAGCCAGCAGTGTGCCCTGGTTGCCAAGAAGACCAATGGTCTCCTGGGGTGGATTAAGGAGTGTCGAGGGAGGTTCTCCTCCTCCTCTACTCTACCCTGGTGAGGCCTCATCTGCAGTACTGTGTCCAGTGCTGGGTTCCCCAGCTCAAGAAAGATGAGGAGCTACTGGAGAGAGTCCAGTGGAGGGCTACGAGGATGAGGAGGGGACTGGAGCATCTCTCCTACAAGAAGAGGCTGAGGGAGCTGGGCTTGTTCAGCCTGGAGAAGAGAAGGCTGCGAGGGAACCGCATAAATGTTTATAAATATCTCAAGGGTAGGTGTCAGGAGGACGGGGCCAGACTCTTTCCAGTGGTGCCCAGCGACAGTACAAGGGGCAACGGGCACAAACTGGAGCAGAGGAAGCTCCAGCTGAACCCAAGGAAGAACTTCTTCC